CCTCGGTGTAGTCCTCTGCTGAACAGGAATAATAATATTTGCCGTCCCCACTTTAAGGTTGTTAGAAGGATACTATGGTCTATCCTCTAGGTAGAAATGTAGCGAGTTCTACAGCTATCAGATCCAAGGGCTGTAATACTTGTCACATTGGTGAACGTTTGGAACATAGATCCTATTTAAGGAGCCGTTTCTCCAAAAAAACATTTGGACATTCCTCAGAGTCTATAGTCCCATGGAAGACTCACTAGGTCAAGTGCCTGAAATGACCATCACGGCACATGCCCCCTGTATTTCAAAGTCATGCAAAGACCAAGCAAGGCATTCTTGGTGGGACAGCAGGTGGACCATTTTAAGACCACATGTACACCTTAGTGAGAGGATAGCCTCTCCTTTGAGCAGTTCTGTTCTAATGAAATAATCCCATCAGTTGATTTGATGCATTCTACTCCCTTTTCTACCATCAGAAGACTAAAGTTGAAAGTTACAACATTAAAATCATTGCAATTTGGCAGATGTGCTCTGTACTTTTCTGCCCTCTGACAACTGATCAATAGAAATGACTACCATTCATGATGATTTGGGTTCCTGGGAGTAACAGAGTTAAGGACAGAAGTCTGTAACAGGACAAGTCCTTCAGCATGTTCTCATTGCCAATGAAAGATGGGTCTCTATCTGAAATGTAGTCAAGTTCCCTACCAGCAGTATCTAAGAACTAACACTCCCCAGGGTTTCAATCATTCATCATTTTCTGAACAAATATTTACTGAACTCCATTAAATAGGAGGCACCGCTTATACAAGTAATTAAAACTATCTCCACTCTCCTCCCTGCAAAGAGTGTAGCGCTTTTCTAGAAGGAACAACAGCGTAACAGAAATTGACCTAGGGTGATGGGTTGAATTGGTTCTTCCAAAAAGCTAGGTAGATGTCCTAGCCCTGGTATGTGTATGTGACCTCATTTGGAGAGAGGGATCTTCTTTTGTTATTAGTTAAGTTAATGAGGTCATGCTACAGAGATTTTGTTATTGTTAAATGATAGCGACCCTGTCTAAGGTTTCCAAACAGCAGCTGGAGAGTTTGAACCACTGACCATGCAGTGCAAACTGATCTTGTGGTCCAGCGCACTATCCCACAGCATCATACCAGGATTCCACATTATAGTGCTGCTGGTGGTGGTTATGTGCCATGGAGTCGTTAGTGACACTGTACAGGGTTTCTGAAGCTGTAAATCTTTTCGGGAGTAGGAAGCCTCATCTTTCTCCTGCGGAACAGCTGATAGTGAGGTTCACAGCCCGATTCGTAACCACTACACTGCCAGAGCTCCATATTATAGTGGAATGGGTCCTAATTCCTTCTGAGTGGTGTCTTCAAGAGTCACACACACAGGAGGGAGAGAGTTTGCAAAGATACATCTACACATTGCAAACAAATGCCAAGGATGGCTAGTAGTCAGTAGAAGCTAGGAGAGAAACATGAAGCAGCTCCTTTCTTCTTGTTGTTGTTAAGTACCGTGGAGTTGGTCCCAACTCATAGTGACCCTGTACAGGGTTTCTGAGGCTGTAAATCTTTATGGGAGCAGAAAGCCTCATCTTTCTCCTGTAGAACAGCTGGTAGTTTCGAACTGCCGACCTTGAGGTTCGCAGCCCGAGTTGTAACCACTATGCTATCAGAGCTCCTTACAGACATCAAAACACGTGAAGGAATCAAATGGCCAATACCATGATTTGGACTTCTGGTCTCCAGGCTTATTGCACTAGCAATGTTTGTTCTTTAAAAGTCATTCATTTTGTGACATTTTGATATGACAGCCTTACGGAAACTACGACGCTTCATACAAATTTGGGGCGTGGGCTAGGGGGGAGTCTTTTTTATGGATATACTATTTAACCAAATACTGCAGAAAGACTCAGTGAAGTGAAAGAAATGAGAAAGAAGTCATCCTCAGTATTTCCCCTCAGCGAGCGTTCATTTGTGAAGAGAATAAGATCTATAGTCATCTGACCTTAGCCACACAAAGTAGAACAAAATAACTGGACTATGTTGGTAGAAACAAATATGGTAAGTATCTCAAGCAGAGGACAAATTAACACAGGTCAAAACTGGAAAAGTGTGTAAGAAGCAGAGAGTGCTGAGCATTTTTATTTTGTAAGGATTATTCATAAGTGACAGATGGAAAAATTGAGTACCCTGTCCCCTTACCATTACTCTAGGCCAAGACTTGCTTTGCATTTGAATCCACAATCCTTAGGTCATGAACGTTGGGCCTTCCATACTCGACATTGGAAGTTACATAAAAGGACGTGTAAAAGGAAAATGGCATGTAAAGAAAAATAGCAATTTGCACATAAACGACTGCCCACTACTTTTTGCAGCTGTTGGTGCGGAATGAAAAGAGATTGGGAACTGCATGAATCAGAAATTATTTGCAAATAGAACTTCTAGTTAGGATTTTATAGAGCAAGTCCCAGACATCCTGGAAGATTTCATTTGGTAAAAAAAAAAAAATTGATATACTGTGCCTTCACATTGGGAAAGAGAGGCCCTCTCTCCAACAATGTATGTATTCTGTTCCCATGAAGATATTTTCCATAAGTGATTCTCAAGCAATTTCATTCTTTTCATTTAAAAAATTAGGAAAGAAAACAAGATGGCAGTACGTGGTTTCACTGTGGATTCAAAAAAGGATACCTTCATTAGTTGTTGCATGTTTCATGCCAAGCTGAACTATACCAGTCTCTCCTTATCTGTAAAGACACCAGACCCATAATGGAACCTTAATGGACTGCCATTGGCTCTCTCTCCTCATGCCATGGGTCCAAAGAACTGGCCCTGGTTTTATTATATAGACTTGCTTTTATCAACATTCCCCACCCCAGCACTGATCTGCCTGCCAATTAGTGTGTTAAATGTTTAGGAATAGTTCTCAGTAAAAGATGTTTGTCACTGGCAACTCCCTGTAACTTTTCCCCATTGATGTTGAGCTCTGATGTCATCAAAGGCACCTATTTTCCATCTAAGTATCCATGTAATTTTTTTCTATTCCAAATATTATTCAATTATATTAAAAAATGTATTGTCTTCTATTCTATTTCCTCCATATTTAGGGTTCTTGCTTTCATGTTATAATGGCAGATGATATTTATCCAATTCTTGATGATTATCATTTATTTAATCATATCCTCTTGTTGTGATATGTCAATTTCATGGCTAGATAAACGTTTTCAATTGCGTTTGAGGTTTCTGAGACTTTACTTCCTATGCAGTACACTCAACAGACTATAGCACAAATTTTCCTTTATTTAAATACAAGAAATAAATGTGTTAACCCATGAGAAGAGGATGCTAGTATTAATTTTACTCCTAGACATTGCATGAAATCCTGGTGTGGTGCTGTGGGTTAATGTGCCAGACTGCTAAGCTGTTTGAACTGCAAGGTCGGCAGTTCAAGCTCACCACCTGCTCCTCAGAAACCCTATACAGGGTCGCTAGGGGTCGGAACTGACTCGACCGCACTTCACAACAGCAGACATTGCATGGAGTCCTGGTGGGGCACTGTAAAATCAGCAATTCAACCTACCAGCTTCTCCTCGGACACCCTATACAAGATCACTATGAGTTAGAACCAATGCAACGACACTTAACAACAAGAGACATGGCATTTGTAATTGCCCAGGGGAAAATTCCCAAAAGTGGTTTGCTAAAGTCATGGAGAATGCTAAGAAAGATCTTTGTAAGAACATTTATGAAAACCTTTCTAAAAAACCTGTTCATGCACCTCAAAATGTAACATATTGGCAGTCACTCATTCTACCTGATTGGGAGCAAAGTTAATTCTCATACAATTGACACTTCATAAAGGACAGCAAAATTGAATCCTAATTAGATCAGAGCATATAGAAAAGTTCTATTGATGCCGTGACATCAGACAGAGCCTCTTAACTTTTCAGCAAGCAACACAAGTCCAATTCATACATACCTAGGCTTGCATCATTCCTCTCTGGATCATTCCCTGAAGACTATCAATGTGCCACTTGCCCAGAACCCATAAGTCTTCTCAGAGACCCAAGTACAACTTTCTAAGAGTCTTCATAATCTTTCCTCCTATATCTTGCAACGTAGCTGGATGACAAAGCTGAAATAGTCCTTCATTGGTGTCGCATGTACGCACAAAGGGACATTTTCTGTCTAGAGTGCGTGGTGACACTCTCAGTCTGAGCCTCTAGGTATTGATGTAACTATGAGAGGTAGATTCACCATTAGGAAATGCGGCGGCCATCAGAACCCATGTAAAAGAGAACAGTAATGGTACAAGGCATGCCCTCCTCTTGTCTTTATCAATTCTATAAAGGAAAGTTACGTAGTCCTTGAACAGAGCATTCGGTGTAGGTATAAAGCTTTTTATTTGCAAATGACATCCAGTGGCAGTGCCCTGACTATTTTTTAAATGGTAGACTCTAAAGATGGTACTAGGAAGTCACACCTTTCGAAGAAATGGGAAAGACAAATTACTAGTTTCAGGATTAGAGTATTTAGCAAAACATGTATGTTGATTCTCACCAAAGTTGCCAAGCAAACTGGAATTCCTTGGGGCTATATATAGAGTTCATTCACTTTAAAATTACAGATTCCAACAATTACACTGCCAAACAATGATACTTTTACAAATATTAGTGGGTTTCCCAATTTCTCTCCATTACTATTGCTGCATGCAATGATCTACTTAGCAATTCTTAAACACTACAATCTCTCTATTTAAAGAGGAAAAAATCACAAAAGCATAATAACTATGGGTTTATTTGCCTTTCCTGTACACTACCACGAAATTCTCTTTAATATGAATCAAAACTGCTAGCTTTGACAGGTATGGTATTCTCATCAAAAACTGAAAAACCCCTGCTTTCCCTTCTAGAACGCCGAGGCAGCAGGAATAAGCCCAGAGCTCCACATGGCCAAGTGTCCTTTCCCATAGCCACTGAGAGCAAGGACAAGATGGATCCCTACCTCGGTGACTGGTGAGCTCCCTGGAAGCAGAAGGCAGGGGTGTATAGTGGTGCTCTGAAGCGGCAGCCGCGTCCTCACTGGAAACCTGTGTGATAAAAACAAATGCCAATGAGAAGCAACACCAAACACTAAATACTCTTGATCAACAAACTTGTGTCATAATAGTCTGAATTTAGAGAACATATTTTCTTAGACTGAGAGACTTTGAAGGCAGCAAGAGTGGTGTTTGTTGGAGCAATATCCTGGTAAAGGTAGGATGAGGTCAGTGGTGGTACACTTCCCGTTTTCTAGGCAGGAGATCAGGGTTCAATTTCCAGTCAATGAATCTTGTGTGCAGCCACCCATCATCTGTCAGGGGAAGCTGGAGGGTTGTGGTATTATTAAACACATGTTAACACAACCTCTAGGCTAAGATAAAGAAGAAAGAAAGACTTGGTGGTCTATTCTGGAAACTCAGCCAATGAAAGTCCAGTGGGTCACACCCATCAGATCTACAACTAATCCTGGGGATTGCACAGGCTCGGGCAGTATTTCATTCCATTGGGTCACCGTGAGTAGGGGGCTGACTCAAGGGGACCTGAGTACAGGTAGGAGGGTTCAGCAGAGGCAGGGGATCATTTACTTATGACGATGAATGGAGAGAAGAGGAAAGGAGAAAGAGGCTGAAGGCATGAAATGGTGTAGACTTAGATTTCCATCACAGGTCTCTCTCAGTCACTCCCACAAATGAAATGCTCACTATGAGCAGATTTCTATGGAAACCGGTGAAGAAGCTGAGTTTACCCCAAGGTTGTTGTTGTGTTTTTTGTTGTTGTTACAAACCCTTGAGTCATTTCCAACTCCCAACGACCCTGTATAGGGTTTCCAAGAAGTGACTGGTGAGTTTGAACCACCGATCTTGTGATTCAAACTGACCTTGTGGTCCAGTGCTTTATCCCACAGGGCCAGCAGGCCTCCATGGGGAAAACCACAAAGCAGGCTCACTTGGTCCCATGGAATGGAGTCAGAGAAAAGAGAAGTACTAGCCACAGGAAGGTAACAGGGACGGTATGGAATGTCACAGATTGTGGAAATAGGGTGCTGGTTACGTTTAACAATGTTACTACAAAAAAATCAGCTGAAATTTGGGATATAACAGCTATCAAGAAACCAGTTCCCTCCCATGGTCTGAAAGAAAATGACAATGCATACTACCCTATACGTAATTTGAATATATGTAAAGGAGCTCTGGTAGCGTAGTGGTTACAAATCGGGCTGCGAGCCTTAAGGTCAGTGGTTTGGAACTACCAGCCGTTCCGCGGGAGAAAGATGAGGCTTTCTGCTCCCGTAAAGATTTACACCCTCGGAAACCCTGTACAGGGTCGCTATGGGTCGGAACTGACTCGATGGCACATAACAACAATACATGATGATGCTCTTTATCTTATCTGTACACAAAGAACTTCTTAACCAGGGAACTCTATATAATGTGCTCCAAGCTACTAACTCTCTCCCCAGCTCCACTTCCTCGGTGACTGAGGTAGGAAGAATGGGTCACGGACATAGGGTTGGCCATCACTCAGAGAAGGTCGCCAGTAACTGCACTCAGAATTCGACGGTTCACAGCAAGAAGTAACACCATAGCAACTCTAAGACTGATACTTTTTTAATATCCTAAAAAGGAACATCTGCTAAGATCAAAACCCTGAGCTTACAACCTTTCCAAGCTTCATGAAAAAGTAAATTTCATTAATACTACCTTTTTCTTTCTGGACTAGAAAATACATTCTATGGGATATATTTGCCCTGCTAGAAGCAGGTCTTTTCTCCAAAGAGATTACCTACATTAGGGGAATAAAAAAATAAGTAGGAGATTAGACCTACTTGCTAGAAAAAAACCTTTAAACCCCATTTCTGACATTTGAGATGTTTGATTAAGCTGCTTTCAGTCGAGACTTATAGAGTTTTGAATGAGGCAGAATCAGAAGTCCTGTCCCTAAGGTAGAAACAGATTTCAGGTAGCATTACTTCACTTCAGTTCCAAGGGAAATATGTGGTGTTTAAAGCTTGATCCAAGGGTACTAGACCCAGGAGAATGAAAACTCAGTCATCAGAAAAAGTTTCAAAAAACAGATAAGACTTGCTGGATACTCTACATCATTAGACATTTTAAGATGTTGCAAGAATGTGAGAGTCAGAAATTAGATTAAAATTCAAAGAGTGCCGTCCCCACGTGTCTCTCTGTTTGGCATTCAAGGTCTCTTCTATTCGCTGTGTGAGGACTGAAACCCAATGACACTGTTCTAAGGGAGATCACCCTTCTAAAACCTGTCATACCTCCTTCCTCCACAGAGGCCAGAACCACTCTCTCTGTCACTGTTTCTGCTTCACCTCATCACTAAAAAACTCAGATTCCAAGATGAGGTTTAACTTGCTGTTTTGTGCTATTTCTTAGGACTTTTAATCTCAATTTGGGCTGTTGACAATTTGATGACAGCTCTTCTTGAAATTACTGAAAGAAACTCTACCTTTCAGCAAATACCTCTGACTGGGCAAAACATTAGGGTTCTGTAACCAAGAGTAAAAGAGATATTTTGCTTTATTTCCAAATGTAGACCACGCAAAAAGAGTGTGGCTTGAGTTCTGCTTTGTAGCCATCGTTCTATGCCCAGAATTTAATTACTTTTATGCTCAGTTTGCATTTATAAACTCAAGCCATGGAAAAGGAATCCAGGAAAAGAACTATTTCACAAAATATGCCTTTTGGTGGGACTTTCATAGCTGGATGAATAGATAAACTAGTATAAATCAAGATTCAAACCACCAACTCTTTGACTAGATTTTACCAACATGAAGTTATGTTAGGTTTTCAGCTGAATGGATACACTTGCTCTCTGTACCTCATGCATAGAAGCATATTCAGAAAAGTGTGGTCATCTTCTGAAAGAAAGGGATGAAAAAATGCACACTATTGACCAAAGAATAAAAAACTCATTCTGTAACTGAAGCAATATATTTATACTATTGCTATTATGTGCCATCGAGTCAGTTCCAACACATAGCAACCTTGTATGTGGGTTCTGAGGAGCAACTGGTGGGTTTGAACTGCTGGCCTTGTTTGTCAAACCAACCTTGTGGTGCAGTGCTTATCCTACAGCACCACACCAAGACTCCAGTCACGTATGTTGTTGTTGTTTTATTGTTCAGTGCCATCAAGTCGGTTCTGATTCATAGTGAGCCTGTATGAGGTTTTGGAGGAGTGGCTGGTAAGTCTGAACCACTGACCTTGTGGTTCAAACAGACCTTGAGGTCGAGTGCTTATCTTAAAGCACCACACCAGAAGTACATTCACAATACACTGGCCATGAAGTAATGAAATGATCAATGGAAAATTTTAAGAAAAGTTTTGTTTTACCTGAATTTTAAAAAATACATATTCAAAAGGAGATTAGGGAAATTGGGATAAATCTGAATCTTCAGGATTACAAAGTCTCTCAAATCTTTTAGTATTTGCCAAAGACATGGTACTTTTATATTTTATTTTTTAAACATCACTCCTGTCAGAAGATATTTGCAACATAAACAACAAAACATCGATATTGAGGATACATGCAATGTTGCTACATCAATGAAAAAATATAGTAGAAATATGGATAAAGCCAATGCGAGGCAACTCCTGCAAGAGAAATCCTGAATGAACAATAAACAAAAGATGGTCAAATTTACTAACAATAAAGGCAATGCAAATTAAAAGAATGAAATATAATGTCTCCACTCATATTAGCACATTTTAGAATATCACAAGAATAGCTACCAGTGAGAATGAAGAGAAATGAAATTCACATCCTCGTCCTTTGCCAATGAGAATGTTCAACTACGTTGCAGAGCAGTTTAGCAACATCGAAGTCCTGGTGTGGCACACAGGATAATAAATGCTGGACTGCCAACTGCAAGGTTGGTGATTCGAACCCGATACAAATTAGCTATGAGGCAGATTCAACCTAACAGCACTTATCAACAATGAAAGTGAAAATCAGTAATTCCATTTAAAATCTACAAGTATGGAAAATTTCACAGAGGTCTGTAAATGAAGACTATTCAGTGCAACACTACTTGTAACAGAACAAGTGGGCAATAACATAAATGTCTGTCAAAGAGGAAAATGGATGAAGTGTAGTATATTCATGTAATTGTTGTTGTTAGGTGCCATTGAGTCAGTTCCAACTCATAACGACCTTATGCACAACAGAACGAAACATTGCCCAGTCCTATGCCAACCTCACAATCACTGTTACACTTGAGCCCATTGCTGCTGCCACTGTGCCAGTCCATCTTGTTGGCGGGTCTTCCTCTTTTTTGCTGACCCTCCGCTTTACTAAAAGCAGAATGTCCTTCTCCAGGGACTGGGTCCGCCCGATAACATGCCCAAACTCTGAGAGATAAAGTCTGGTCATCCTAACGTCTCAGGAGCACGGGGTATAAATCAAATGTGATTTATACATCTTAATTTCAAAAGGTCTAAAAAAATTTATACTGAGTGAAAATGCAAGCTAAAGACAGAACGATAAACAAACTCTAGTATTTTCTGCAAATACGTAGTTATTTAATCTCAACTGTGTATGGCTGTTGTTGTTGGTGGGTGTCATCGATTCATTTCCGACTCATAACAACGCTGTATAGGGTTTCTGATGAGCAGCTGATGGGTTTTTAACTGTCAACCGTGCAGTTACCAGCCCAGTACTTATCCTACAGTGCCACATCCGTACTCAGTACGGTGGTAAGTTGTTGTTAAATGCCATCGAGACAGTTTCAACTCAGTGACCCTGTATAGGATTTCTGAGGAGAAACTGGTGAGTTTGAACCACCGACCTTGTGGTTAGCAGTCCAGTGCTGATCATGCAGCACCACACCAGGACTCCATGGTGGTACGTGGTGTGATTCAAGTACCTTTTGGTCAGTTCTGACTCACAGCTACCCTATATCAGGTTCTTAAGGAGCAGCTAGTGGGTTTGAACCATAGACTTAATGATTAGCAGTCCGGTGCTGATCCTACTGCACCACAACAGGACTCCCCAGGGTGGTATAAGGGGTTTCAATTTTATATAT